GGGGGGAGTATAAATTGATAAGAAAATAAGTGATATTCCTTATTCAATTCCTAATATAAATTGATACTCATTTAAAACTTATTTGTACATAATTGGTAAAGTGCATATTATCATATAATTAAATTAAAATTTAAGTAGGGATAATAATAAGATTTCAAGTAGTGTATAAGAAGGTAAAAATCCCATTTATCAAACAACTAGCAAGAAGTCCACGCTCCTAAATAAGCCCAACTTGAGATTTATTCTAATTAGGTAATCCGTTTCGCATCTCTCTTCATATTTCTAACCCCACACTTGGCAGTTGGCGTGCTCCTAAAATAACAACTTTTAGAACAGATTCACAAATTTTAATTTGAAAACCTAAGAAGTTTAGGATCGGAAAACAACTTCCAATCACCTTTTCCCCGTTTTATATGTCTTTTCTTTTTAGTGTTTCACTTCTCATTATGTTTCATCAGCGTCTAACAAGTCATTGATTTAATAGGGATCCATGGGTTAAGATTGATAACAATAAAGAGTAAGTGTTACCTCAATCTAGTACATTCTTTTTCTTATCCTTTCTAAATATAGCGGTGCTTTTCGTTAAGAGCGAAATTGGGTGGGTCAGCGTTATAAAAAATAGAAACCCTTTCAACTTGCACCCAAAAAAAAAAAAAAAAAAAAAACTAATAGCACTATTAGTAAGGTACAATAAATGAAAAGGAATTGCAGAAGAAGATTTTTCAAAAGCGACGAGAGAAAATATTTTAGAAATTAAAACCAAATGACAAGAGTCGACATTGATCCATAAAATTGTAATCTGTCCAATTGATCCAAACTTGAGCTCGGAATTCAATTTATTCCCTTTCTAATCTATCTTTATGGAACTCATTTAGACATGAACAGCCTTTGGCTTAATATATACTTCATTCGGTTCACAATAAGTAGCCAGTTTCCTTTTAGCAAGTCCATTAAAAAAATACTTAATTCTATATAAAAATATTTAGTATGACTAAACTATCCTTATTAAATATTGATCACAAAGTTATAGTGAAGAGTGAGACTTTTAAGAATATGCACATAAGGATAAAAGACTAAAAATAAATTATTTTTTTTCTTGAATACCTAATTAAATACTTATTTTGAATCAAAATGAAAAAGTAAAGTGGTCATTTATTGTGAACCGGAGGAAGTATTTATGTTGGCAAAGAACAAGAAGTTTACAATTGGTCAACTAGACACAAGAAGTTGTTCACGAATTTTAAGTAGATAGCAAATCCAAGTTTAACAATTGGTCAACATTGGGAAATAGGTGGATTCACGAGGTCAGGAACTAAGAATGAAATAGTCTTCCAACGTCACATAGTGGGATAAAGTTAATTCAGTTCTAGTACGCACATATCCCCACACAAACTACCCACCTAACACCTTTTACCCTCTCGCCCACGTCCTCATCACGTTTGGTACTACCTTCCTACAATAAATAGGTCATGTAATATAGCAAGAAAATTACATCTTGAAACATGAGCTTGTAGATAAAAGGAAAAAACAGTAATTGCAGCTTTTAAAGTACAGCAGTTGCTGCAACTTTCTACTTCTAGACCCTCCCCTACCATCATCACTCATTCTTGCATATAGGCCATTCCTTTTCTGTTTCCCATAATCCTAAAGCTAAAATCTTCCCTTTTCTTTTCAGACAACCTTTGATCATTCTTTGAGAAGCAACAAAAGGAAGATGAGACCCAAGATTTATCTGTTTGGAGATTCCATCACTGAGATGTCCTTTGAGGATGGTGGGTGGGGTGCTTCTCTTGTCAACCACTTTAACCGCACGGTATATATACAACACCGTTTAATTATTTCCTCTTCTTCTTTTTCTCTCGTTATGGATTTTTTATTCTTTTATTTTAGGTGGATGTGGTGTTAAGAGGGTATAGTGGGTATAACACAAGGTGGGCATTGAAGGTGATAGAGAAAGTTTTTGATGAGGAAACGGCGCCATTGGCAGTGACAGTGTTCTTTGGAGCAAATGATGCTTGTCTCCCTGATAGATGCTCTGCCTTTCAACATGTCCCTGTTGATGAGTACAAGCTGAATCTTCATTCCATTGTCTCCTTTCTCAAGGTATATCAATCCTTTCTCCACACGTGCAAACCTCTTAACCTTCTCCTTCAATACCTTTGTTTTCACCTCCTTGAATCTGATCATACATGGGGATTTGAACTTCTTGAAAATTGATAAAATATGGTAGCGGTGGCAGCTGTAACCGTGCTGGATCACGTGCGTGGATTGACTTTTTTAATTTTGTTAGGTAGCCAATCAATTGCATCTATTATTAAAAAATAAGCTAGGTGAAAGGCTGATTTTTTTTTTTTTTTTTAAGATATTGTCTTCTTGTGTTTATGTGTTTGTATGATTGCCTTCGTTTAGTCACCTAAGAAATTTTGACCAGTTAAAATTAGGTAGGTAGTGAATGATCCAACTGGATTTGTTCGCAATAAGCACCAAAATCTTTCCAATAGTGAAAAAAAATAGGTAACTAGGTATACGGGCATATGCCTTTCATTGGTATGTATTGGATAGTCAAAGCCAGACATTGTGTATTTAACTATTTACATGTTAAATAACTAAATAGAGATAATTCCAAGGAATACTCCACGAACAAAAGCAATGCTCACCAATAATACCGGAAGAGAAGGAAGTCTTGATCAGTAGTCTGCTCGCCTGCAAAACCAGTTCTTACGTTGTACCGCAGACCAACGTAGGTTCCCAAAAGAGAACATAAGTACCATCCATTGTACTCAGTGAATCTCAACAACAAGGGGCGAAACTTTAATAGCATATACATTACGAGCAAAGGTTCTAAATGCATGTAAAACATAAAGCTTATAAGAATAATTCTAAAATAATTGCATAATAGTAAGTTAGATTTTCATTCTTGTATCCAATATTAAGTTAACAGAGGTGAACTGTCTTTTGGAGATTAGTTGTAGAATTCTAGCCGTTTTCTTCGTGGAGGAAAGTCGGTTAATTTGATATGGCTGCTGTTGCTCTAATATACTCTATAGATGCCGGCGTTTTTTAATGGATCAATAAAAATTATTTCTGAGCTTTTTCATTTTCTTAAACTTTTTTCGAAGCTTCACATTTATAACTTTTAGAAAGAATTACAAGAAAATACACTTGGCTTCATACCATAACAAAAAATGGCCCATATTTTTAAGTTTTACCCGACCTAGCCTATATTGTACATATTTTTAAAGTACTAGAAAATTCAAATTCTGTTTTCTTACAACCATTACTTCTAAAATCTATGAAGTTAAATCTATGTTCTCACAAACATTTATACAAATCAAATTCGGAATCTAAACCCACATATTTAAGCTTGTTAAAAATCTAATTTTCACCATCCAAATGGATTTGGTTTGTTGAACTAACATTTGGGTTACAGTTACTAATTCGAAAAATTAACTTAAAAACTTGAGCAATCGTTTTTAAAAATTAAATATTAATTTTGAGAACCTATTGGAGTTGGATGTTGAATCTTAGCCTATTATTTTTGGGCTAGTTGGTTGTAAATTGAAATATGGGCTATTTTAAGTAGAGATCTCAGTTGTTCTTATGTGAAATTTTTCCCTTTTATCAGGTATTATCACTTTTAGCCCGTGCCAAAAACTATTTACATTTGGTAGCCGAAAAAGTGTATAAAATTTATATAATTTTTGTATATAACATACAGAATATATATATATACAAAAATTATATAAATTTTATATTTTTCTAGCTATTATTTTTACCGCGGCTATACAGTATCATTTTTACACATTTAATTGCACTGCATCATCATGCTGGCCAAGAAAAGCTCGTGCTTTTACCTTGAGAACTACATACACTAAGGATCCATCAAAGGCCCACTTTGAACAATTTCTTTCCTTTCTTTTTTAGGTCTTGTAGTGTTTTGACCCGGAAACTACAATACCAGTTTAAGATAGTAATAGAGAAGTAGATAATGAGAAGCGAAAAGGAAAGAAAAGTCATAAACAAAGGTGAACACACAAACTTTGACGATTTTCCTCATTAGCACAAGTTATGGGTGTAACCAAACATTTATACAAACCCAGAGGATTAACTAAGGTTGAAAGGAGCACCACAATCAAATGTTAAATAAGGAAGAGCTAAAAGAAGCATAACTCAATTATGTGAAACTTCATCAATAATTTTGGAAAATCTTCCGAAGATTAATATACTAATGTCACATAATTTGACAGATAAGGGATATGTCAAGATAACAATCTCGACACCAGATCCGTATAAGCATGAAACTTACTCCCCTTTTCCAAATTATCTATTTTTATTAACCATAGTTAAAAGTTAGGGAGAATTTCACGTAAGAACAACTGAGATCATATATATAATTTTTGTGTATATATATATATATTCTGTATGTTATATACAAAAATTATATAAAGTTTATACACTTTTTCGCCTATCAGATCGTAAATAGTTTTTGACACGGGCTAAAAGTGATAATACCTGGTAAAAGTGTACAAACGTAAGTAACAGTAGTCGCTTTTGTTGCTCCCCCACTTTGTCCATTTTTACTAATTTTATTGCTATTTATGCAATGCATGTAGTGCCCTGTCATTTTCGCTAGCCATTCTGCGCACTTTTGTGTAATATCGCTCGTTTGCATTGCCTGTATGCTAGTATTGCCTTTCCTTTTTTCACGTCACAACGCAATTCTGAGCTGCCTTTTTCTTCTTGATCCTATAAAGATTTCTTAGAATAATTGTAACTCTTGGACCAGTCAAAGTGAATCATTAATCACTATCTTTCAAAAATGTCGTTCTAATGATATTGACACTTCATACCTTATGTATTGTAGTACATACTTGAGATGTCAATTAATTAAGCATGTAAACCTAGTGTCATACATAGGATGCTTGGATTGACTTTTAAGCTGGTCAAATCAGCTTTTGAGCTCTTTTTAGCTTTTTTCAGTGTTTGGCAAAGTCAAAGTGCTTAAAATAAGTTAAAAACTGCTTAAAGTAAGCCAAAGGCAAAAAGCTGGGCAATCCCAACTTATTACTTTTTGACTTAAAAACTATTTCTGCTGAAAAGACACTTTTTTTAAGTCAATGCAGACGGGCTAATAGTCATTTGAGTCTGGCTTTTGGACAGGAGCAGACCTATTATCTGAACTTAGGAATTCGATTGAACCCACATTTTTGGCTTAAACACATAAAAATTCTGAAAAGAATCCCAAGTATTTTTAGTTTTGAACCCATAATCCATCAAGTTTAAATCATAAAGCTGCCTCTTCCTTTGGATGAACTTTCTTGGTTGAGGGAAGGCGAGCAGTAGTTTATCTTTACCTGATTAGTTTAAATCATCAAGTCGCCCATCCATAAGTGTGTGTACATGTTTTAGTTTAAGAGTTCAGCAGCAACAAAAGGCAAAACTCTATATTCTCGACTTAGTAATGAGACTATATACTCATGTAGATGATTCACTTTGCTGTTTGTAGGGGCGATGGCCAACAACTCAAATTGTCCTCATCTCACCTCCTCCAATTGATGAACCTACACGACTCCTGTAAATCTCTTTCCATATGTTTCCTGATTCTATGACTATTGGTGCACTTTGCTTGAAAGTCTGATGTTTAATTCAAACAAATGTAGATATCCTTTTATTGAGAACAAATTGGGCCTGCCCGAGAGGACTAATGAAGTTGCTGGAAATTATGCGAAAGCAAGTCTAGCTGTAGCAGCTGAATGTGGGGTTTTGGCTGTGGATTTGTGGACCAGAATGCAGCAACTTCCTGGCTGGCAAACAGCTTGTTTAAGGTATACCCTGTAGTACAAGGAATTTATGATTTGACTTTGCCATAATTCATTCACCTTCATTTATATTCTGAACTGTAACAGAGGTTTCATCCACATTATTTGAACTTTCATCAATCTTAGTTGTCTGCTTCTGGCCAGAGAGGATAGTACTTGTTAATGTTAACAGGATATTATTCTGATCATCTAAGCTGTTAAAATTCAGTTTAAAAAGCGGAAGTGTTTGACCAAATATACAATGAACTCCTCGTTTAATCCCAGAGGATTCTTTTTTATTTTTTTCTTTCTATACCTTCTCGCGTAACTATCCATAGAAGACGCATCTCTTTTAGGATTTGACTTGTATTCTGTATACTGTCAAAGTAAACTTAACTTGTAGGAATATAACATGCCTTATTTTTTAGGTTACTAGTTCCACTTTTTACGAATCATTTACCTGTAAGTGACCTGATGGTACATTGACATTATTTTAATTCCGTTATTTCTACGTCACAGCGATGGTTTGCACCTGAGTAAAACTGGGAACGAGATTGTATTTGAGGAGGTGGTGGAGGCTCTTAAGAAGAAAGGGTTGAGTGTGGAAACTCTACCAGTTGATCTGCCAGTGATTAATGAAATTGATCCAAATGATCCACTCAAGTCTTTTGAAGGAATATAGCATATATATGTTGAAGCCCCTGCTCCCAACTCAACCCCCTCCTTTTCTTACAGCCATTAATATATTTTGGAATAGCTATTTCCTATTTTAGGAAAAAACGACCATGTATTGTTCATTGACAAGTACTTTCATACCCTGCTCAAAGCAATATGTGTTTTCTCGTACTTGGAAGTTAATTTTGCTGTGGAACAACTCTTGTTAGCTTAGTGTTGTGGGGTGAGCTATAACTCGGCCTGTGTGATTTGTTACATTTGGTTGAGCATTTTCTCTTATATAAGAAGAGACAGTGAGGTGTCTGTCTCATGGTCAGGCATGTCTGACATTCTAAGTTACTTCTTGTAAAGAGCGACCTTCTCATTTTAGCCGCAATTCTCATGAAACATGAGGCCACTCAAATTTTCCTTTCTTTCAAAAGTATCGTAGCTCAATCCGAAATTTTCACACACATCTCTTTAACAACATTTGTAGCCTTTTACCAATACATTATAGTAGTTATGTTTTTTGAGGAATTTTCAGAAATGATTACTCCCTCCGTTCCAATTTATGTGAACCTGTTTGATTAGACACGAAGTTTAAGAAAAAATGAAGGCTTTTTGAATTTGTGGTTCTAAACAAATCAAAAAGAAGTCCAGAGTATTTGTGTGGTTGGAATGGAGGGAGTATGTTTAGTGGCTATTAACTTGCTATAGCTATCATTTACTTAATTATTTCCTATAGCTATGTTTTCACTTGTTATATAGTGTATTCGATATATTCAAGCTATTGTATTCATGAATACAGTAGCAAAACTCGGCGGAAGACAAGGAAGTCCAGCTAAACATAGATTATATTCGTATGTATTCGTGAGCTGTATTCGTGAATACATTAACGTAAATCTATGAAAAAAGGTCTTCAGCTGTTTAAAAACGGTAAGTTAATCAATTAACGCGATAAACTCCTAATATAACTTAACAAATTCAATTATAACACGCAAATTTTGTATTTTCAGTTATAGAAAAAATTCTCAGCCGAAAAACACCCAAAACAGAGCAATCTTTAGAGATTCAATCCATCCTTTCTTTTTTTAATGGTATCTTTACTAAAATATTTTTTAGTAGTATCTTTACAAATAGATTTATATATTGAAATTATATAATTATATTGAATACAGTTAAATACATACAATACGTTGAATACATGAAGAATACCAGTCATCTATAGTGCAAAACATATGAATACATACTGCAGATATATTTGAATACATATATACATCTGAATACATAAATTATATTAATTAAAAAAATATATGAATATATTCTACAATATATTGAATACATACTGCTGAATATATACTGCTGAAAAAACAGTGAAGCAATGTGAAGCTTTGAAATTATATAATTGCATTGAATACAGTTAAATACAATGAATATATTCAAAAAGTAGAAAAAACTAAAGATAGTGAATACAATAAAATACATGGAATACAGTGAGATACATTGAATATATGAAAATAAAGTATTTTTTCCCTTAACCCTTGAATCATCATCCATAAGTTTTCTTCTCTTTTCCGCATCAGGAAGTGTTGATTCTTTCGAAGATTTCTCAAATTGGGCTTGTTTCGATGTCGGGTAACCCTCTTATGAGTTGTTGAATAAGCCATTGGAGATGAAATTTCGAGTTTTCTGGTGAAAGTATAACAATGGTGATTATTTCTAAGAAATTAGTAAAGAGAAACAAAAGAAGCAATGTACTGGCCAAAATCTAACAACTTTAACACTTACCACAACTTTTTGGAGCAAAAAAAATTTGAAAATTTCGCGAGACATTGTAGATGAATCAGTGGAGAATCGTGGTTATATTCATGGAGAAGAGACTGTCATTGAAAGAGAGATATGGTGGAGAGAGATCGTAGTTTCTGAAGTTGTATAGTATACGGTGGTCTTGTGAGAGAAAGAACAGAAAGTAGGAGAGAGAAAAATATTACCAGCGTATTTAATGGCTAAATCGTAGGAAGTGACCATAAAATCATAAATATTTATTTTGCTATAAAACCTAAAAGATAGCTATAGAAAATAATATTTTAAAAGGATATTTATTTATAATAAATAAGTGTAAAGCTTTACTATAAGAGGTAAAATTTCCAATTTTTTTCCTTCAATTTTATCGTGGCTATTGACTTTTATAGCTTCTACCACGTTTTTGACTTTGGAAGCAACTGTTGCTGCGATTTTGTTAGTATTATTTATTATTTTTACTTGATTGAATATTTATTATTCTCCATAAATAACAAATTCACGAGATCTCATGTTTATTTTCCGTTAACAACAAATTCAAGAGACCACAATAATCTGACTATGTCAAATCATAATATCATCGCCTTCTTCTAAATAATTCTCATTTATACTTGAACTAAAATTGGTTAATTTTCGGCAGGAAAAAAGATGTTTAGCCAACTTAAAACTGTAACGATCCGGCCGGTCGTTTCATGAATTACCGCTCCGTTTTCCCTATTTCTGCTTCTTATTGCTTTGTTCAGTGGTATAATATGTTATCGGGTTGATTGGCTCGGGTTCGGAGAGGTTTTGGTAAGGTTTGAGACACTTGGTCTCTTTTGAGTAAGCTTAAGTTGGAAAAGCCATCCGGATGTTGACTTATGTGTTAAATGGCTTGGATGTGAGTTCCGATGGTTCAGATAGTTTCGGGAGGTGATTTAGGACTTAGGAGCGTGGTCGGAATGTGTTTTGGAGGTCCGGATTAGATTTAGGCTTGAATATGCGAAATTGGTATTTTGGCGTTTTCCGGTTGATGGGTGAAATTTTGATATCGGGGTCGGAATGGAATTCCGGGAGTTGCAGTAGGTCCGTTGTGTCATTTGAGATGTGTGTGTAAAATTTAAGGTCATTCAAACGTGGTTTAATAGACTTTTTGATCGAAAGCGAAATTTGGAAGTTTTTGAAATTCTTAGGCTTGAATCCGATGTGATTTTGGTGTTTTAATGTTGTTTTGGGAATTCCGAAGATTGAAACAAGTTTGAATGAGGTTATGAGATACGTTGTCATGTTTGGTTGGGGTCCCGAGGGCCTCGGGTGAGTTTCGAATGGTTGACCGGACCATTTCAAGTTAAAGGAAGTAGTAGATTTTGGCTTTAGCTGTTGCAGACAATTTGTGCTTCGCGTTCGCGAGTGGGTCCTCACGTTCGCGAAGGGCTAGGATGAGAGGCTGGAAATTCGTCCTTCGCGTTCGCAAGGGAGGTCCCGCGTTCGCAAAGGGTCGGAATAGGAAGCATCGCGTTCGCGAGATGTCTGTCGCGTTTGCGATGGTTTGAGATGCTGAGGCATCGCGTTCGCGATGGTGTGGTCGCATTTACGTAAGAGAATTTTGGTCAATGGTATTTTTGTAGTTCGAACGTGAGGCTTTGACCGTGTTCGCGAAGAAGGATTTCTGATCGCTGGGCAGAATGTTTAAAAGGCCATTTTTGTGAGTTTTGGCCTAAGTCCACCATTTTGACTCGGGTTTGCAGCTTTTTGAGAGAGATTGAAGAGATAATCAAAGAGAACTTATTGGAGGTAAGAATTTTGGACTTAATACTCTATCCCATTGTGATTTCTACCTAATTAAACATGAAATTTGGGGAATTTGAAGCCTAAATTGGGGAGTTAGGGCTTGGAAACTTGAGACGTTAATCTAGGGATTTGAAGGGCCATTTGTGGTCGGATTTTGGTACTCTTGGTATGTATGAACTCGTGGTAGGATAAGGATTCCGTTGATATGACTTTTATCGAATTTCGAAACGTGGGCCCAGGGATCGGGTTGGACCAATTTCGGGATTTTTGGTATAATTTGATTAATTTCGCATGGGCTTCGTCCCTTTAGCATATTCTAGTGTTATGATTCTAATTTTGGGTAGATTCGGCGTGAGTTGAGGCCGAGGTGAGAGGCAAAGGCATCGGGGAGTAATAATTCACCCGGTTTGAGGTAAGTAACCATTGTAAATCTGGAACTGAGTGTCAAAACCCCGGTATTTCGTATCGTTTTGATAAATAAAGTGATGCAAATGCTAGGTGACGAGCGTGTGGGTGTGCACCGGTAGGGATTGTGACTTGATCCATCCCGTAGAGACTATTAAGCTGCGTACTTGAATAAAATCTTATGATATCCCGTATTTTAGAAATTTATAATATATTATGGGTTGTATGTCATGTTTGAGGCCTTGTGCCGACATGTTGAGACCCTTAGGGGCGTTTTTACTGTTTTTCCTCACTCTATTTGTTTGAAAGTATATCCTCAGTCATGTTTTACCTGTGTATTGTTTAAAACTGGTTTAATCACTCTACTTCTTAAAGTGTGAGAACTGTTCGGACTGAGTTCCCTAATTTCTAATGTTATGCTCGAATGGCTGTGAGGTTAATGATTGCGAGAAGGTTGAGGACCTAGTGTTGAGGATTATAAATATTATGGATCGGGCTGCACGCCGCAGCAATATTATATGTATATATTATGGATTGAGCTGCAGCCGTAACAATACTTATATGGATCGGGCTGCGCGCCGCAACGATATGACGCTTTGGATGTAGGAGCCCCTTCGGAGTCTGTACACCCCTAGTGAGCATAGTCGATTATAAATTAGTGATCGGGCTGCACGCCGCAGCGATTATTATGATTATCACTATTATGAGGTGTATTTGAGCCTGAGAGCTGAGTGTGAGTACTGAGTGACGAGAGCTGAGTCATGAGTGACTGAGAGGCTTGCCCGAGAGGCTATATTTATGAGTGATACCTTGCCCGAGGGGCCCATTTATGATAATTTTTGCTGATTTCACTCTTCTTTTAAAATGAGTCTCTATTTGAAAACTGCTGAGTAAATGTCAAAATATTTCAATCGAAACGGAAGTTTTATGAAGAAACTGGTTTAAAACTATTGAGTTTGACTTGATATTCTGTCGTTTACTTTTCTATATGATTTTTAACTGCTCGTCACTGCTTTCAGACTTTGTTTACTTTAGTTACTTACTGAGTTGGCGTACTCATGTTACTCCCTGCACCTTGTGTGCAGATCCAAGTGCCCGAGTGACAGAGTAAGGGTCCTCAGCATTGTCAGAGTTTGCCGGAGACTTCAAGGTAGCTGCATGGCGTCCGCAGCCCTGCTTTCTTCCTTCTTATCCTTGTTTTTCCTGCATTTTAGACTTGTTATGTATTAGACAGTCGTATTTGTATATTTAGAGGCTCTAGACTCGTGACACCAGATGTTTGGGCTGTGTTGGTTTAATGTTTTACTGATTTCCGCACATTTTAGTTGTTTTATACATTTCTTATGAGAATTTGAGATTTAAATCAGTGTTAGAAAATAGTTTTCAAAAGAAATTTATTGTGGTTGATGGTTTGGGTTGACTTTCCTAGTAATGTGATAGGCGCCATCACGATCGGGTA